GGTGGTGGAGGCTCGAGGTCAGAGGGTGAGAGGGAGGCTTTACCCCTGGGGCATCGTGGAGGGTGAGAACCAAACTATCTGCTGACATGTCTGACACTTTAGACACAGTTTCAGCACTTATTCCATTCTTCACATACTTATATATAATATCTTGCTTCGGAGGTTATTGTACTTAAGTACATTTTTCTGGTTTCAGTACTTTACTCCACTCAAAATTCTGACTTTTTCTGAATATTCTGACTTTTCTCAAAATCTCAAAATCCGGACTTTCTCTCAAAATTCTGACTTTTTACTCAAAATCTCAAATTCTAACTTTTTTCTCAAAATTCTGTATTTTTCTGAATACTTAAAGGTGGGGTAGGTAAGTTTGAGAAACCAGCTCGAGTGCGCTAGAATTTGAAAATACACAGCCGGAGAAAATCTGCCACTTCCTTACAGAGCCCCTCCTCCAACACACACGAACGCGCACATGACCAATGAGGGCACGAGATAAGTTTGTGCACAGATGGAAGGCTGACAGGCAGGTAGGCCATCCAGTTATTTTAGCCGGGCCGGCTCAGATGATTGGTCGTACTTTTTACAGTACTACAGCTTCCACAGATGATATTTATTTATGGATTTTTTGTCAAAGCACTTCAGATATTCATTACTATCGGGATGTTAAGAGCATTCCATGGAATATAACAAAAAGTGTATCTCGAGCCGGTTTCTCAAACTTACCATTTTTAATAATCACTTGTCCCCGGTTTGATCTTCAATCTCAGGATTCATGTATCTGTGATCCTCTCCAGAATGGAAGTAGTCATCACATACAGAGCATCATCTAGTTCCTGAACAGTGTCCTTCACATGCTGATATCCAAGAGAGGGAGTTTACACAGTCCACAAGATGGAGGAATAGAAGCAGTATTCAATGTTTACTTCAGATTAGCTCCACGTCAGAAATGATCATGCTTGTCATATGTCTATCTCCATAGAGGCTGAATCATCATGTTAATCACATAGCTATCATATGCCTCAAACAGTCCTGATGCTCTTCTAGGTAATCAGACATCCTGTCATGTTCACAGCTACAGTTGGGATACCTTTGTTATCACGTTACTCTCATATTGGAAGAGTATTTTCCCAACACTAATCTTGGATCTTTTTCCGTCCTTCCTGCAGTGGAGAACCCGTCCCACTGCGACTTTGTGAAGCTGAGGACGATGTTGATCCGGACCCACATGCACGACCTGAAGGACATCACCAGCGACTGTCACTACGAGAACTACAGAGCGCAGTGCATCCAGACCATGACCACGTGAGAGGGAGCACAGGAGGGGAGGCTGGGGGCGTTAAGGGACTCACGTTAGGGAGGAGTTAAAGGGAGAGTTGAGGTTTTGTGAGCTGTATATCAGCATGTGAAGGACACTTCTATCTATAGATAGATAGATAGATAGATAGATAGATAGATGGATGGATAGATAGATAGATAGATAGATAGATAGATAGATAGATAGATAGATAGATAGATAGATAGATCGATAGATAGATAGATAGATAGATAGATAGATAGATAGATGGCTGGATGGATGGATGGATGGATGGATGGATGGATGGATGGATGATGGATGCATGGATGATGGATGGATGGATGGATGCCGTTGGATGGATGGATGGATGGATGGCTGGCTGGCTGTGGCTGGCTGGCTGCTGGCTGGCTGGCTGGATGGCTGGCTGGCTGCTGGCTGGCTGGCTGGCTGGCTGGCTGGCTGGATGGCTGGCTTGGCTGTGGATGGGGCTGGCTGGCTGGCGGCTGGCTGGATGGCTTGACTGGCTGGTGCTGGCACGGCTCTTTCCTCTCCTCGCTCTCTCTCTCTCTCTCTCGCTCTCTCTCTCTCTCTCGCTCCGCTCTCTCTCTCTCTCTCGCTCTCTCGCTCTCTCTCGCTCTCTCTCTCTCTATCGCTCGCTCTCTCGATCGCTCGCTCTCTCTCTCTCGCTCTCTCACTCGCTCGCTCGCTCGCTCGCTCCGCTCCTCTCCTCGCTCGCTCGCTCCTCGCTCGCTCGCTCGCTCGCTCGCTCGCTTCGCTCCTCGCTCGCTGCTCGCTCGCTCGCTCTCGCTCGCTCGCTCGCTCGCTTCGCTGCTGGCTGCTGGCTGGCTGTCTCTGGCTCGCTGATACTCGCTAGCTCGCTAGCTAGATGCTGGCTGGATGGATGGATGCTATCTATAGATAGTAGATCGATAATAGTCAACAATACCTCAGTTCTGTGCATCTCTTGTGCAATCTATAACATTTTATCTCAGCGTTTCTTGCAAAAAGTGTGTTTCTCCAGGTTATTTCCAGCCTGCAGTGAGTCAATCATCCCCCCTGTTGTCCTCCATGTTTTTGAATAACTCACAGGAAGATGAACGCAGACTCTCGGGTGGAGAGTCCGATTCCCCTCCTGCCCCTGAACACACCAGACGTGGAGACGGAGAATCTGATCAAGAATGAAGACGACGAGGTGAAGAGAACAGCTGGTTACATAAGGGAGGAGAAACGTGGTTATATAATCCCTCTCTTTATCCTCCTCTTCCTCACTTAAAAACATGGTTCACTGAGAACGGCACACACTCGTCTGTGTTGGATATGGCGTGTGTGTACATGTTGTGATCATGGATGTTGGCCCTTGTTTCTGTTGTGTGATTGTGATGTGCTATATGTGACATAGAGCGGTGCAGTGATGGCGTATTTGTGTAGGTCGACCCTGCAGTAAGCTGCTGGTTCCCTCGGCAAAAAAGCAACGGGATTTCTCCACAGGATTTTGGAAAATAGCTGGAAATAGAGAGCCACAGTGACGCGTCCTAAAACCCGGACGTAAGTTAGCATTTTACCTCTTCCGGTTCCGTCAACAAAAAGCAATGCAATTTCTCCACAGGGTTTTGGAAAATAGCTGGAAATAAGGTCTGTGGTTGAGACACATTGAAGAGACGGATCACGTTTTGTTCAGCCGGATAATATCCACATGTCTACCCTACTTTTATAATGTTCGAAAAGGAACTACAGCCCAGTCCAGCAGCACGACTTCAACGTCACGCCAACTTAAAGGGGACCTATCATGCAAAATGCACTTTTGTACGTCTTTTCTACATGAATATGTGTCCCCGGTGTTCCAGGGAACTCACCAAGTGTCAGAAAACACAACCCTCTCTATTTTCCTCCATACCCAAATCTCTAAAAAAGGGGCTGCAACGGATCTGATAAAAACTGATCCAGATTTGAACACTGTCCTGACGTCAGGACGGTGGCGCTACGGCTATTGGGCCAACTCCACCAATCAGGAGGAGACAGCCACGGCCATTGCCGTTCGAAAGCGCTGGAGACGCTGTAGTACATATGCCAGGCCTGTAGGTGGTGCTGTTCTCACTGAATCAGCCCTTGCAGAGCAGAGCTAAAAAAAATGGAAATTGAGCGAAATGAGGCATGGCTAAAATGCATGATCTGTTTGGTATTTTGAAAACAGAAACGTATAAATATACCTTATATAGGTATGGCCCTACAATATATCATTTAAATATACCATGATAGGTCCACTTTAAGATCCTTATTCAAACATACAGATTCTAAATGGAACGAGTTGAAGCGTTTGTTTGAACAGTTAGCAGGAGGCAGGGACTTGCTTTCAAGCAGAACAGGGCAGACTAACTTAGAGGAGTGTTCACGTGTTCGGAGTAATGACGTACAACGGCCTCCACGACTTCTGTAGTCCTATTCAGCCACTTGGTAACAACCATCGTTTTTCAGACACGTCAACTCTTCAGAAATCACCAGTGGGGTCACTGCTGATGGATTTAATGTCGTAGAACAAAACGTGACCCGTCTCTTCAATGCGTCTCAACCACAGACCTTATTTACAGATATTTTCCAAAAACTACTTCAAAAATCCCGTTGACGTTGAATGCTTACTCACGTCCAGGTTTTAGGACTCGTCACCACTCTATGTAGTAACGCGTGTTTGCATGTTATCGTTCTCTTTTATCCTTTCGCCTCTATCTACTCGTCTTTCATCCTTTCTTTATAACTAATGCTGTTGATGTGTTGTGATTTTAAAAAGGTGTCTATTATCATCTGGACAACAGCTGGAAATGGAAATGAGCGATGTTGGCTAAAGCTGCTCCATTTACTGTTTTGTGTGACAGTTGATGAATGGAGACTGTCCACGACACTGTAAACAAATACACTAAACTAAACTAAACTTGTTCCCTTCCCTCTGTCTCCTTGCTCCCTTTCCTCTGTCTCCTTGCTCCCTCAGCTGAGGAGGATGCAGCAGATGCTCCAGAAGATGCAGCAGCAGAATGCACGAGCAGGACCTGTGACTTTTTACATTCAAATGTGACTTTTACATCTTTTATTTAGGATTTTAAAATAACCAGAACTCCCACACAAACACTGAACACCAGAATGATTTACAGAATTTAAAAGAAATGTAAGGCACCCTTGAAAGTCATTCATTATATTTATATTATTTTTAATTTATTTATTTATTCGTTGTAATTTTTTTAATGTTTATTTATTTATTATTATAATTATAATTTTTTTGTAATTCTTTTATAATTTATTTTCTAATCTAAAAAAAATGAAGGCAACCTTGAAAGTCAGGCGATTAAATGCAATTTTCTTACTTCTTAAAACGATGTATTTGGTTCTTCGGTTACACTGCACTATGTATCATGCACGTTACAACTAACACATTCAATGAGTAAAAACAAGGGAATTTATGTAGAATTTAAACTTAATCAAAACAATACTTACAAAGCCATACAGAATATCTTCAGAGTAGAAGAACAGCATGCTGGGAAATGTATTTCTACCTAATTTTCACAACAAACATTGCATTTCTTTTTGTTTGAATGCAGTCATTAGCCAAGACGCGTTAGGCAGTAGAGAGAGAGGCACCTTAGAGAAACACGCGGGTTTCTTTAGTGGTTTCTGCACATATTTTGAAAAGTTGTTGATGTTGTGCAGGTTTAGCAGCAAATGCATGTTAAGAAAGAGCATATCATAAAATCAGTAGGAGTGTGTGTGAGTGCTAATGCATACTGGTTTCTTAGATTGAAGAGGGCCCTGTTATGCTTTGTTTGGGTTTCTCTTTCCTCCCCCTCTGTCTGAAACAAGGTATTGCAGTGTACAATCTTGGAAATGTAACGTAAGAACAATCCTACATTCAGTACACTTGACTATTTCTTATTTGTATGTATGTGTGTGTGTGTGTATAATATATACCCATCACCGTCCAGATGTGATTTCATTTCAGCGACCAATTTTAAAATGTCTAGCCGAGCGGACGTGCAGAGAAACAATTGGATTAAGATCGTGACACATGATTAGCCTTAAAGTAATAATACCTTTGTTTTAAACAGCTGAAAAACAGTGTAAAAAATAATCTGCGTTACGGTAAAACAAGGTCAAGCATCAGAGGGTTAGAACACTGAATAAAATCTCTGTTTTCATCAAGTGTCGTTTCCTTTATTTTGCGATATATTTGTATTTGTGTCCACCAGGGGGCAGCACACACTATTAATATATCCCCCTTAGATAGATAGATAGATAGATAGATAGATGGATCGATGGATCGATGGATGGGTACTTTATTGATCCCAATTTTTAGAGCTTGTTTCATGGCTCGACGGGCACATTTCATTATTTTGTTATCGACATTAATTTACATCAATACTTAAAACAAAAAGACATTAAACTTATTTTAATTGTTATTATTTGTTGTATTACTGTCTTTAATGCTTATTTTAGCATGTTTTGTATTTTCCCTTTATATTGATTAATATGTATTTATTATATGTATTCATTTAATTTGAGCTGCAATTGATTGCAGCTCAATAATTAAATTAAAACCACAACTTATTTATTTAATTTTGTATTTAATGCTTATTTATTATCAATTATTATGTTGTTTTTTTTCACCTTTTTGCATTTGTTTGAGAATTTTTCTCACTAATTTGTATTTTCTTATTTATAATTTATTACTTACATTAATGCAGATTTTTCTGACTTATTAGTATTTTTGCTTTTTTTATTTGTATTCTGTCCTTAATTATTATTTTATTTCTTAATATATATATTTTGTTTGCATTGCTAAGGGTTGGGGGCTTGGCTTCATTTAACCCTTTCTTTACACAAACTCATCCTAAAAGTACATCCTCTGTCTTCAGCCAACCACCTGAATCCTTGTTCAAATACCACATTATTATAGCCTCATGTCTAAAAGGGGGGAGGGAGGGCTGGTTGTTGAGCCAAACACAGGTAAGGTGTGTCCTACTGGTGTAAATATCTCCATAAAAAAAAGGGGGCTGGACGACCCGACAGAAGACTGAAGCATGTCCCGGGTTTAGAGGGTGTTAGGAGGGGTTTGCAGAGTGTGTTTTCTCGGTGTAATGCAGCACACGGATTGATTTTCAGTTCCTCCGCAGATCCGGACCCAGTTTGCTGTCTCTGAGCCCCGGGAATGGATCATTTCGCCGGGGATGATGAGAGCGACGCGTCCGCGCAGCAGACCACCGTGTGGCAGCATATCACAGCCCGGGCCAAGCCGCTCCTCAGCCCCAAACTGGGCTCCAGAGACCCGGAGGAGAAGAAGGAGAAGAGCATGTGGATGTTCAAGAAGATGAAGAGGAAGGAGAACGTGTCTCTGGACCGGATTATCTCTTCCTCGCAGCCGGATTTGCTTTTCGCGTCCGCGCCGGATCCAGAGGCGCATGAGGCGCAGCAGCTCTGCGGCAAAGCGGCAGGTATGAGCGGCAGTGGAGGCTCCGGGATTAAGGAGAGGATTTCTTCCAAACTCACGGTGGCTCATCTAATTCAAACCCACCACAAGAGCTCCTCTCTGGGGTCTGCGTGTCTGGAGAAGCTGGCGGAGCCTCCGGGCGGCAGGAGCGGTGAAGCAGGCGAAGCGGCAGGAGCGGTGGAGACAGAGCAGGAGGAGCAGAAGGAGCAGCAGGTGAGAAACTATAGATATTAAGGGGTTTTGGCCTTTTATATAACACATCAAACAAACTGCAGTCATATGTAAATGAGTCACAGGTAACTAAGTACTCATTAGAGCAGGTGTAATGGTACTTTACTTGTAGAGTAGTTAGTACAAAATGGTCAATCAACAAATTAACTATAATGCACATTTATTACCAGCAGCATGAAGTTGACATTTGCCTTTTTAAAGCAGATAGAAAAAGCTGAGGTATAATTGGGTCACTATTTGTAGGTATTTGTAGCTGCAGTGAGTTAGCAGGAAATAACACCATTGACATGCACACAAACATAACTGTTTAAATAGGGGAAATGATTTCAAATGAAATATCAATAATAGTAAAATTACTAAAATAGAGATTTTGAGGTGTAATTTAATAAATAAATAAAATGTATCATTTAAATAGTTGTAGGAGTTAAAGTTAGTCATGTAAACTAAATAAATAACTTAAATAATGTATAATTCCTCCCTGTCTGGACGTTTGACTCCAGAGTGCATCGAGGTGACTTGAAGAGCGAGTTGATTAATAAAGAACAGCTCTGTCTCTTCCTGTAACATCTGAAATCCACACACCACACACACACACACACACACACACACACACACACACACACACACACACACACACACACACACACACACACACACACACAGACAGACAGAGTGAGGACACCTGCATAAAGACAGAGTTTACAGGAGCTTTGCAGAGAATTTGCATAACACAGATCCATGTGTTGCTATAAGGAGATGCTGGGTGTGTTTCCCCAAAGACACACAGCAAGACAAATACACTCACTAAACAAATACACATATACACCTGAACATCAGCAGGAGAGGACTCTTTAAAGTAGAGACACTGCATACTGATATACACCTGAACATCAGCAGGAGAGGACTCTTTAAAGTAGAGACACTACATACTGATATACACCTGAACATCAGCAGGAGAGGACTCTTTAAAGTAGAGACACTACATACTGATATACACCTGAACATCAGCAGGAGAGGACTCTTTAAAGTAGAGACACTACATACTGATATACACCTGAACATCAGCAGGAGAGGACTCTTTAAAGTAGAGACACTACATACTTGATATACACCTGAACATCAGCAGGAGAGGACTCTTAAAGTAGAGACACTACATACTGATATACACCTGAACATCAGCAGGAGAGGACTCTTTAAAGTAGAGACACTACATACTGATATACACCTGAACATCAGCAGGAGAGGACTCTTTAAAGTAGAGACACTACATACTGATATACACCTGAACATCAGCAGGAGAGGACTCTTTAAAGTAGAGACACTACATACTGATATACACCTGAACATCAGCAGGAGAGGACTCTTTAAAGTAGAGACACCACATACTGATATAACACCTGAACATCAGCAGGAGAGGACTCTTTAAAGTAGAGACACTACATACTGATATACACCTGAACATCAGCAGGAGAGGACTCTTTAAAGTAGAGACACTACATACTGATATACACCTGAACATCAGCAGGAGAGGACTCTTTAAAGTAGAGACACTACATACTGATATACACCTGAACATCAGCAGGAGAGGGACTCTTTAAAGTAGAGACACTACATACTGATATACACCTGAACATCAGCAGGAGAGGACTCTTTAAAGTAGAGACACTACATACTGATATACACCTGAACATCAGCAGGAGAGGACTCTTTAAAGTAGAGACACTACATACTGATATACACCTGAACATCAGCAGGAGAGGACTCTTTAAAGTAGAGACACTACATACTGATATACACCTGAACATCAGCAGGAGAGGACTCTTTAAAGTAGAGACACTACATACTGATATACACCTGAACATCAGCAGGAGAGGACTCTTTAAAGTAGAGACACCACATACTGATATACACCTGAACATCAGCAGGAGAGGACTCTTTAAAGTAGAGACACTACATACTGATATACACCTGAACATCAGCAGGAGAGGACTCTTAAAGTAGAGACACTACATACTGATATACACCTGAACATCAGCAGGAGAGGACTCTTTAAAGTAGAGACACTACATACTGATATACACCTGAAACATCAGCAGGAGAGGACTCTTTAAAAGTAGAGACACTACATACTGATATACACCTGAACATCAGCAGGAGAGGACTCTTTAAAGTAGAGACACTACATACTGATATACACCTGAACATCAGCAGGAGAGGACTCTTTAAAGTAGAGACACTACATACTGATATACACCTGAACATCAGCAGGAGAGGACTCTTTAAAGTAGAGACACTACATACTGATATACAACCTGAACATCAGCAGGAGAGGACTCTTTAAAGTAGAGACACTACATACTGATATACACCTGAACATCAGCAGGAGAGGACTCTTTAAAGTAGAGACACCACATACTGATATACACCTGAACATCAGCAGGAGAGGACTCTTTAAAGTAGAGACACTACATACTGATATACACCTGAACATCAGCAGGAGAGGACTCTTTAAAGTAGAGACACTACATACTGATATACACCTGAACATCAGCAGGAAGAGGACTCTTTAAAGTAGAGACACTACATACTGATATACACCTGAACATCAGCAGGAGAGGACTCTTTAAAGTAGAGACACTACATACTGATATACACCTGAACATCAGCAGGAAGGACTCTTTAAAGTAGAGACACTACATACTGATATACACCTGAACATCAGCAGGAGAGGACTCTTTAAAGTAGAGACACTACATACTGATATACACCTGAACATCACAGGAGAGGACTCTTTAAAGTAGAGACTATACTACTGGATATACACCTGACATCAGCAGGAGAGGACTCTTTAAAGTAGAGACTATCATACTGATATACACCTGAACATCAGCAGGAGAGGACTCTTTAAAGTAGAGACACTACATACTGATATACACCTGAACATCAGCAGGAGAGGACTCTTTAAAGTAGAGACACTACATACTGATATACAACCTGAACATCAGCAGGAGAGGAAACTCTTTAAAGTAGAGACACTACATACTGATATACACCTGAACTCAGCAGGAGAGGACTCTTTAAAGTAGAGACACTACATACTGATATACACCTGAACATCAGCAGGAGAGGACTCTTTAAAGTAGAGACACTACATACTGATATACACCTGAACATCAGCAGGAGAGGACTCTTGAAAGTAGAGCACCAACATACTGATATACACCTGAACATCAGCAGGAGAGGACTCTTAAAGTAGAGACAACTACATACTGATATACACCTGAACATCAGCAGGAGAGGACTCTTTAAAGTAGAGACACTACATACTGATATACACCTGAACATCAGCAGGAGAGGACTCTTTAAAGTAAGAGACACTACATACTGATATACACCTGAACATCAGCAGGAGAGGACTCTTTAAAGTAGAGGGACACTACATACTGATATACACCTGAACATCAGCAGGAGGAGGACTCTTTAAAGTAGAGACACTACATACTGATATACACCTGAACATCAGCAGGAGAAGGACTCTTTAAAGTAGAGACACTACATACTGATATACACCTGAACACAGCAGGGAGAGGACTCTTTAAAGTAGAGACACTACATACTGATATACACCTGAACATCAGCAGGAGAGGACTCTTTAAAGTAGAGACACTACATACTGATATACACCTGAACATCAGCAGGAGAGGACTCTTTAAAGTAGAGACACCACATACTGAATACACCGAACATCAGCAGGAGAGGACTCCTTTAAAGTAGAGAACACTACCATACTGATATACACCTAGAACATCAGCAGGGAGAGGACTCTTTAAAGTAGAGACACTACATACTGATATACACCTGAACATCAGCAGGAGAAGGACTCTTTAAAGTAGAGACACTACATACTGATATACACCTGAACATCAGCAGGAGAGGACTCTTTAAAGTAGAGACACTACATACTGATATACACCTGAACATCAGCAGAGAGGACTCTTTAAAGTAGAGACACTCCAATACTGATATACACCTGAACATCAGCAGGGAGGAATCATTTAAAGTAGAGACACTACATACTGATATACAACCTGAACATCAGCAGGAGAGGGACTCTTTAAGTAGAGACTATACATACTGATATACACCTGAACATCAGCAGAGAGGACTCTTTAAAGTAGAGACACTACATACTGATATACACCTGAACATCAGCAGGAGAGGACTCTTTAAAGTAGAGACACTACATACTGATATACACCTGAACATCAGCAGGAGAGGACTCTTTAAGATAATAACTGAGAAGATGAGAGTATGTAATAGTTGGTCTTTTGTTTGTGTTGTTACTGACTGTTTGGGAAGTGTGGCAAAGGAAAATAGAGGACTATTTGATGCAGCTGGAACAAATCAGCTCAGCCTATAATCACTTCCATATTACTGAAATTCAGTAGATACAAACTGTTTCAGGGTGTGACTGAAAGTACAGAAACCAGTCAGATTCTGCAGTGTGAAACCATCATTTGTTCAAAGGGGAAATCAGTGCTTTGGTGTTTTTAAAACGACTGACTTCAGTAAAATGAATATTTAAAGGGTTTTACTGGGACTAAAGTGCAGATCGACCCTTCGTCTCAATGGTCCTCTTACGAGATTGTGAGGGGTTGAATTACAAAAGAATGCAGGGAGATAAATGTCACAAAGCAGGTCGACTACTGTGGAGAAATCACTGTTTACAGTCCAGAAAACTGTCCACAGATTTAAGGCTGCATGTTTTTAAGAAGTCTACCATCAGTAATATGTTGTTTACATATTGACCCAGAGAAATACACATTCAACACTGGAAATAACAAGATTTCTGAGATGATTCGGAGGTATTAAACGTTGTCATTAATGGGTTATATTCAGATGTATATCAGTATGTAGTGTCTCTACTTTAAAGAGATCCTCTCCTGCTGATGTTCAGGTGTATATCAGTATGTAGTGTCTCT